AAGCTCGGGGCGATGTGGGCCGAGTGGCCGTCGCTCTCGTACACGCCGCTCACGATCGCCTTCAAGGCCGCGGGGAGTCCGCCATGGCTCAACCCGCTCTATTTTCGCTCAATTTCCGTTGGAAGTGCGTGCCTTGACATCGCATCTCGCCTTGTCTCATGCCACGTTGCAGGCTTCCAACCTCGTGCTCGTCTCCCTTTGTGCTATCGCCGTACTGCTCCTTTGGCTCGGCAAGTGGCGCGCTTCAATATGTAGGGTATATCTGCAGTGCGAACCTCACTCATGCGTGTCACTAGGCGACCTTTGGCGCCAAAAGTACCTGTACCCAATGATATTTGATATGCTCTACATTCCGCTCACGTCGACGCTCGTGCGCCTCGCCACGTGTTCCGACGGCTACGTTCAGATTGTGCTGCCCAGTGGCGCCACGTGTGCGTGCATTGATCATTTTGGCTACTTTTGGGTATGCCTCTTGATATTTTGCCTTGATACTTTGACTGGATACTTTTCCATCGATAAGCACTGTTGTCCTGTAGGGGGTCGGTCTCGCTGGATTTGTCGCGTTGTACCTGTCGGCGCTCCGGTACAAGTTGTACACTGAGCCATTGGCAACCACCATGGACTTTCGGTTCCAGACCAGTTTCCAGATCATCATGGTCATGGCCCGCACACGTACACGTCATCGCGTCGCATTATTGTACGCTGGGCAATATTGTCTGTGTCCTAGTCAACCCAATTGTGTCGATGCTCGTGAGTCAGCTCGACATTGAGCAACACCCGGCGATCGGTAGTGGCATTGCGCTCGGCTTTCTTTTCTGCATGACACTGCTCTTTTGCTACAACTACAAAGTTCAGCCGGTAGGCTCTCAAGTTTGTATCAAGTCGGAGGCACATCGTGCGTTCTAGTGCATCGGCAGCGGTCGCCTCCCCAACAACATTCGCGCGCTCACGTTCAGCAGCGCCATGTACGCGTCACTGGTCGTCCTCGCGTTTATTGGCGCGTCGGCACCCATCACAGACCTTTACTACGCCCTGACGCCACTGCCGCTTCTCTGGCTCACCGTGTGGCGTCTCAACAACCGACGCGCATTGCAGTTTCACATCCCCGACAAGAGCATTCTCGGACTATTGAGTGACGCGACGTCGTCGACGTCGCGGGCCGTCGGGACGATCGCGGCGCTGTACATGGATCCGTCCAAGTTGCATCCATTGCAGTACAATGCCCTCATGGGCCGACTGCAGCAGCTGGTGGAATCGCCCGAGTCACTGGACCCGTCCATCCGAGTCATGGCGCTACGCATTCTCTGGTTTAGTCATATTCAGGTCGCTTCCTTTTTGTGTTTTATGTACCACATCGGACTCGTGATTAGGCATTTCGGAAGCAAAAAGCTCCAATCGAAGAGGTTGGAAAGACGAGTGCCATCCCGTTCAAGCACTACCTTAAAGACGTTGAGAATGCGCATCGTACGCCGAGCGTCGCGTCATCGAGTAGCCCGCCAACACAGCCTGTCAAGCCGAGGATTAAAGGCGTGTGCATCAAGATCCACCGCATCCATCACGTTAAAGGTATGACTCGGCATGCGATACCTCGACCGCTCACCTGGCGTAGAGCCCGACGTTGCGCAGTCCAGCTTGCTCAGAAATAATACCTCCAGCGTGAGCGCCGTGGCACCGTGTGGAAGCCGACCAAGCTCGGAGAATCTCTTTCACTTGATTTCGATCCGTGGCAAGCGCTGGCTGGCCAAGGACGAGACCCCAGAAGATGCCGTGTCGGGGCTCGCACACATTTTCTCGCTTGGCGTGGATACGCTTCGGGATGCTTGCATGCAACAGCACAAGACCGCGATGCAAGACAGCGCGCGGTTCCTCCTCGAGTGGTACAAGGCCCGGTACGTGCGGCTCTCTGGTGGCACGTATCTGCGCGCACTATCGGCGCTCTGCAGCACGAGCAGCGCATGCTCCAAGCACGTGCTGGATGTCGTTCACTCGCTTCACAAACTCACACTGGATGGACGACTCACTCCGTCCCTTTGGTTGCGCGACGTCGAGTGTCTGAGCTACATTAGCATCGGACTAGACGCGCCAAGTGCCTCGACCGTACGCAAGTGTGCGTGGATGATGGCGCTCGTGCTCCAAGTCGCCGAGGCCGACCGAACGAGGAATCCCTGTGTGCTCTTGACGCCAGACGCGATGCACCGCGTCTGCGCCGGCTTGCGTCGATGGACCGACGACTATATTATTTGCGCAACGCTCGAAGTGCTTTGCATCCGGTTGCATCAAATGGAAGCGAACTACAAACAGCACCGACGCGAGCACCGCAAAACTACACGCGCATCGCCCGTCGCGGAACCGCTCGTGTCGAGGGTTCAATTCCGCGTGCGTGGCTTGGCGGGTCTCCGTGTGACACCAAACGACAGCTATCCCACCGCAAGTCACCTCGCATTGGCTCGTAGCAAGCGGCCTCAGCGCCATCTTAGTGCTGCTTGCAATCGGTTGCGCTTGTCTACAATACAGAGCGTCGCGACCGAGACAATGCCGCGCTCGACGTCGTCGCTTCCCGAGATCGTCATGGTCGTCGACCTTCTCGAATCCGTCGAGTTCAAGCCGAACAGCATGGACCGTGCTTCGAAGCGATCACTGGCGCGCACCGAGGGCTTGAGCCTCGTGGCGCCTTCTGTCCTCAAGGAAGTCGAGTACCGACGGGCGACACGACGGGAGCTCGTGGAGCTGCTCCGCCGAACACAAGCCTTGCACGAGGCAGCGCAGACGCCAGACTTGAGGATGCGAGGACGCAACGGCCCAGCACATCGCCGCTCCCGCGCGTACGATCTCGCCGAAGCACAAATGTCCCTCGTCATGCTGTTCACCAGCGCAAAACGGTGTGCGCTCGACGACTACGTGGCCAACGGTCTTGATGACGCGCTGCGTACATTTTTTGAAGCCAACATTCGGCCGCTCCTCGAGAACACGACGCTAAAATTACCGCGCGAGCACAAGCGGTGGTGGCCTTGCACATAGCGTCGTCGTCACTCTAGCGTAGCCCATTGAAATGCACCGTACGGAGCCATTGTTTCGGTCGTGACCAGTGGGACTCTGGGATAATCAAGTAGCATCCCCGTGTCTGCTTTCAGCCGCGAGAAGAAGCGAGCCCCACGATCCCCCATGCGCCCGCGTCCCTGATCCTCCCTCAAGGTTTCCATTAGGGCTAGGTTTAGCTCGCTGTAAGCTGCGTGCATCCTCAGTTCTTAATCCAGCCTGGTTTTCACCTTTACCATCTTTTTGCTACCCATTTACTGACATTTGCTACCTCTTAGAGCCCAGCGACGTACGACAAGCGACGAGTGCATGCTTTACGTTAACACTTATGCAAACCACCGTCCCCATTGCCATCGCCGTCGTCGGCTCGTCGCAGCTGTCGCTCGCACCACCACAGGCGTCACGTGCACGTGGAAGAAGGTGCGAAGCTCTGGCGAAAGCTCTGCCTCGACAAAGTCGGAGAGCGCGCACATGTGCGCCGTCGCATACAGGAGCGCGAGGTTGGAGATTGCGACACAAAACTCGTGCGGCCGCTGGTTCACTTGGCACCCGATGGCCTTGTGCAAGAGACTGAGAAACTGACGCCGCGTGGACCGGCGGCGCTCGGCCTCGGCGAGAATGGCTGGCGGTACAAACATAAACTTGTCCGACCCAGGCCAGAGGCGTCGCTTGGATGCCACGTTGCTGAGCATGTAATCGACGCGCAAGTCGTTCGAAAATTGCGGCTCCATTGGGGATGCTGATGGTGTGTGCGTCGGCGACACGACGGCATCGTTGCGAACTGCCTCTAGCAACGACGCTACAGAAGGCCCTGCGGCCTCGAGAGCACCGACCGTGGGCCCTAGCTGCGGCGTGGAGCGGAGTGTTGCGGGCGTCGTAGCGACAGCTAACGCCGGGTTCGAGTGGTGCGATGCCCCCCCCAACGGCACCGCGCCGGCAGGTAGGGCCAAGATGCTGCATTTGCTCGAGGTATCGGACGACGTCATGATCGTGCAGGATGGTGTGGATGCCCGAGCTGTTGTGAACGACAGATCGGGGGCGACCGAGCCCGCGCTCGTGCGGCGCGAGAGCGTCAGCGTTCGCGCGAGCCGAATCGCGTGCATATCGCTTTTCCCGCGCAAAAAGAATCGGTTGCGATGGGTTATCGAGCCGCGCTGCGACGGCAGCACCGAGCGGTTGGAGCCGTCCGAGTGCCCGTGGACGCGACGCCGCGTGAGTTGCTGGAGCCACGTCGCGACGCCGCTCGCTTGGCGCTTCCAATTCCGCCGTAGCCGGTCTCGGCGCTCGTGGTGGACCTCAAGCGTCACGAGGCGCAGACAGAGGACTTCAAGCACGGACGATATACGATACACGGCGTGCCAGCGCGTGAGACCTCGTTGA